CTGTTTGTCTTCTGTTTTTCCTGCTGTGTTTTGATTCATCTCAAGTTTAAGACAATGTCTACATTATTCTGGGCAATGGTAACTTTTCTAGAACAAGTGACAACGTGTGAATGGGGAGGGGGAAGAACAATGATTTTGTCTACAGGACAAGAACCACTGGAATCTTCTTAATGAGTCAGGTAGAAAAGGTGAGAAGATTGGTTTCAGAATTAACAGTTGGAAGGAATGCTAACTCCTTTATCATCTGAAATTTGATTTATACTAGTTTACGGATATCCAACTATAAACAAAGAACCAATGTGTCTTCAGATTACTCCATACATGAAGCTTAGCTTGGTTATTTTGTTACATCTTTCTCCATGTTAACATATTGAGGATCAAGTGTACTAACATGAGATCCAGTGCTTAAAAGAAAACACATACAATGCAAATCCAGCTGTGAAAATTTTCTGAATCTGTTTCATGAGTTCTCTTACCAGTCATAATGTAGCTAGAGTTCAGTTTCTGGAGTGAGACCTGCATTCAAATCCTTGCCACGCTTACCTCTTAGCTCTGTGGCCTTGGGAAAGTTACTAAAACTCTCTGTGCCCAAGTTCCCTCATCTATTAAAAAGGGAACTAATAATATCAAATTGCAGGGCTATAAAATTAGCAGTAATATATTTTTTATTAAAATAGTTGAGTTGACTCTAACTCATGGCAACCCCGTGTGTGTCAGAGTAGAACTGTACTCCATAGAGTTTTCAATGGCTGAGTTTTCAGAAGTAGATCACTAGGCCTTTCTTCCCAGGCATCTTTGGGTGGACTCCAACCTCCAACCTTTTCGTTAGCAGCTGAGCATGTTAACCATTTGCACCACCCAAACCAGTTATCATTGAGTCATCTCCAACTCATGATGACCCCAAGTTTGTCAGAGTAGAACTGTGCTCCATAGGGTTTTTAAGGGCTGATTTTTCAGAAATAGATCAACAGGCCTTTCTTCTGAAGTGTCTCTGGGTGAACTTGAACCTCCAGTCTTTCAGTTAGCAGCCAAGTGCTTAACCATTTGCACCATCCAGGGACTCAATATCTGTAAAGTAGCCATTAAGACCAAAATCTTACTTAATTTCTCATTCCCTTATAGATACTATTCTGTCTTTTGTACATTATAGTGAAACCTATTGAAAGTTCTCTTCACATGCTGGCTCCATTTCCTTCTCTCTTCTTTTCTTCTTCAGCATCCTCCGGTCTGTTTTCTGCCCCAAACCTGAACACATGGTTTTTGCCCCAAAACTTACTGTTTTCTTTACATGTTCCTTATCTCAATGAATGACACGGCCATCCAATCCAGTGATGCATTTATGATACCTCCTCTTTCTGTCTCTGTATTCAATCCATTTCCAAGTCCTGACAATTGTACATCTGATTATTTCATGAGTCTGGCCTCTTCTCTCCAACTCCACTGCCACCCTCACCTCTTGCCTTAACTACTGCAAGAACCTCTTAACTCATCTACTCTTGTCTGGCCTGCTGCCCATCCACTCATTGTCCCCACGATGGCTAGTGCATCTCTTGTTTGTGACAGGTTATATTTGTTCATGTGATCTTTTGGTTAATTCCTATCTTCCCCACTAGTGTGCAAGGTTTTTGAGGTCAGATATTGCATCTGATGTTACCTACCTCTCTATTCCTAGTGCCTAGCCCCAAGTCTGGCAAACGGTGGGGGCTAAATAAATATTTGTGGAATAAATAAACCATCTGCCACATAATAGTTACTTCTTAAATGAGATTTTCCACAACTATCATTGTCATCATCATCACCACCACCACCAACAGGTGATAGTAAGATAAAAGAGTTTATGTAGATATCTTTAAATTTTCTTCCATATTTGAGCTTCTAGGATTCTAACTAAGCAATACATTATTTCCAAGTAAGAATGGCCAAGGCATTTCTGAATCAAATACTGGAAGAAAACTCTATTTCATTTTTCTCACACCCAATAACTCAAGATTAAGGTCAAGTCTACTCAGAAAGTGGAGCTAAATAGGACCACTAACTTAGACTAGGTGAATTTGATCTGAAGGATAATAATCCTCATCCATAAAATGCAATGTGGGACTTTCTAATGGGTCATTATTGCAGCAGCAAGAGAGGACCTGGCCACCACAATGGAGATTAAGTTTTAGGAAATTTTCTCCTTCAGAACTATCTCTTAATGGACATTTGTTTCACTTGCAATAGGAATTCTTTGGAGCAACTCCTAATGCCCAGCTACACGTAGGAATAAATCAAAAATGAAAGAAAACTATCATGTTGGTACAACAACATCATTTTAAGTCTCAGAAATAATTTTGCCCATCAGCTGTTGGGCCAGTAGTATGAGCTGAGTCTTCCACTGACTGTCACCTGACCCCAGCAGGGAGCAGCACATATTTATGGCATTACTAGAGGGAACAAAAGGGTACATGCAACACTTCTACCATAAATTGAAGGTTTTTTCTCTATTCAAAGTCAGCTCGCTCCTATAAGAATCAAACCTCCCTAAGGCATCAATACAAGGAGCCCTGGTGGTACAATGGTTAAGTGCTTAGCTGCTAACTGAGAGATTGTTGGTTCAAACCCAAACTCAGCAGCTCTGTGGGAGAAAAGAGTTGGCAATCTAGTCCCATAAAGTTTACAGCCTAGAAATCCCTATGGAGCAGTTCTACTCTGTGTCCTATGGGGTCACTACGAGTTGGAATGAGGGCTCTGAACCCGTTTGAATTGATTCAGCCATGGCCAATGAGCAAAACCGTAATAGACATGAATTTTTACAATTTGTATTACCGGGAACAGTAACTGGAACGGGAAAAATTACTGGTTGAAGTACTAGAATGGGAGTCTCAAAAGAAGTGCAATGAGCCCTTCCAGGAGCCTAGTGCATGAGATTGGATGATTGGCAGGACTTTCACTTTCAAGGTCAGCCACCATCTTTGAGTGGGGCACCACTATTACCAACTCTGCTCAAAATCCAAAGGGCAAGAGTTCTGGTTGCTATGAAACACGTATGCTGCCCTTGTTTTCTAAGAAGGAGATTACGTTTCTAGGAGGGCTTTGACCCATAATTTTTTTCCACTCCAGTTACCATTCCAGTTCATCCAAATTCTAAAAATTTAGGTCTATTTCAATTTCACTTCTTCGGCCATGACTGAAGCTTCCTCAGCCATGACTGAACCAGGAAGAACCAGTTCGAAGCCCTGGCTGGAATCACCTCAATGGCATACAACAAAAACATCAAGGCATCAATAAACTGTACTCAAACCACCTCATCTAAATGCCTCAATTTCCTTTCCTTCCTTTCTACAGAAATATTCTTTCCAGTTCAGATTGTAGCAGACTGAACATCAGGATTGTTAAATCTGCTTGGCTTTGGGAAATTCTCCAGACTTTTTGCATCTGGCAGTACCATACTCTTGGTATTTTCACTATTCTAGCACAGAGACAAAAGTATATGAGGATTCCAGAGGACGAGTTTTTCTTCCTGCCTTTCACCGTAATCTCCTTTTCTATCTTTCTGTGAATAATGTATATATTAGTTACCTATTGTTGCACAGGAAACCCTGGTGGTGTAGTGGTTAAGAGCTACAGCTACTAACTAAAAGGTCAGCAGTTCGAACGCACCAGGCCCTCCTTGGAAACTCTATGGGGCAGTTCTCCTCTGACCTATAGGGTCACTATGAGTAAGAATTGATTCAACGGCAGTGAGTTTTATTGTTGCATAACAAATTAGCCCCAAACTTGGCAGCTTAAAAAAAGCAAATATTTAGTATTTCTGCATGTCAGGAATCTCTGCACAGCTTAGCTGGGTTCTCTGAATTAGGGTCTCTTACAAGGCTGCGATCAAGCTGCTGTTATTTTGAGACTCACTGGGGGAGAATCTGCCTCCAAGCTCACTGATGTGGCTGTTTTCAGGCCTCACACCCTCAATGGTTGTTGGTCAGAGACATCCATTCCTTGATATATAAACCTCTATATAGGGCTACTCACAATATGGCAGCTTTCTTCCCTCAGAGTAAGGGTTCAAAGAGAGAGTGAGAGATGGTGAGCAAGATGGAAGCAAGATGGAAGTCACAGTCTTTTTGTAACCTAATCTCAAAAGTGGCATCTCATCACTTTTGTGGTATTTTCTTCTTTAGAAGCAAGCCATGGGGTCCATCTCACACTCAGGATGAGGAGATTACACAAGAGCATACATACCAGAGGCAAGGACCTTTGGGAGCCATCTTAGATAGAAGCTGCCTACCACAACGTGACTTTGTTCTCCCTAGGCAAGAGCGTGGCTTTCGCTTCTAAGCCTTTTATCCTTTGGGTCTCATTCAGAAAAGGAAGCAAGAGGAGGGTGAGGCAGTTTCTGCTAAGAATAGCTCCCAAAATGATGATGATTTTAATTGTCATTGCACATTGTGCATTGACACTGAATCATGGTGAGGACCCCAGTCACTCCTACTTGGTTTGTCTGAGTATCAGTTTCCTGATGACTAACTTTATAGTTCACTAATAAATATATTACAAAATAGAACTCTAGAAGTTACAGAAACAGAAGGAGTATATTTTAGACCTTGAGTTCTGTTCTCTTCCTGTACCCATTCCTCACTTTGCAGAGGTTTAGTGCTAATTTGAAATCATTCTAAAGCTTCATCTACTTTGTTTTAAGGTACTTGTTCAACTTTTTACAACTAATTTTTATATAAATGCCTTAGCACCAATTAAGTCACCTCCTAATTGACTGCATTATCTAGAATTCCTCACTCATTCAGTCTCTTACATTGCACCTCGTAAGAGGGAAGACAGAAAAGAAAAAGAGAATAACTTGTATTTCGGAGAGGCCCATGGATAAACCTGGGAATATAAATGGACATAAGCATTGTCATAATTTCTAGTAGAGCTGTGAATGCTGAATTTTGTACAGGAAAAAAAAAAAAAAAAAAACAGACCTGCAGTCATATGACAAATATCTCTACCTTTTGTTTCCTTTTGTACAGATTGTTTCCCAGAGAAAGTTGTCCAAATCCTTGCTGAAGCACGGGAACACAGCAGGAAAGTCCTCCATCACGGTAAGCCTCCCTAAGCATCCATCTGCCCAGGTACAGGGCCCCGATGGAGCTGGCTGGTCCACACTGAATATTTAGGAAGCAGACTCTCTGGCTACTGGGAGTTGATTCTACAATTGCTGAACTACCCAGGCCACCCCTTTCTTTTTTCCTTCTTTGTCTTTCCTGCCAATGGAATTTTAACCCTTCCACCCCTAGGAAAAGTGATGAAGAAAAAAGATTTGAAAGTGAGGTCACTCACTTCTACTAAGCCCTTCTGTAACTGCGATATAGGTTTCAGTTGGAGAGAAAGATGAAGTTATCGAACACAGTTGTTGTTGTTAGGTGCTGTTGAGTCAGTTTTGACTTATAGCAGCCCTACATACAACAGAACAAAACACTGTCCAGTCCTGTGCCATCCTCACAATAGTTGCTATGTTTGAGCCCGTTGTTGCAGCCACTGTGTCAATCCATCTCGTTGAGGCTCTTCCTCTTTTTCACTGACCTTCCATTTTACCAAGCATGATGTCCTTCTTCAGGGACTGATCCCTCCTGATAATATGCCCAAAGTATGTGAGACTAGTCTCCCTGTCCTCGCTTCTAACCCAAAACAGTAAGAATCTGAAATTGTCTGGGGTTATCAATCACCAAAGATACCTATCCTACCTCTTGTTTCTGTAGAGAATTAAAAATTTGCTGAAATAAAATTTGGTCCAAGGTTTGGTTTCTTGCCTAAACACCAGAGAGCCAGCATTTAAAATTCCTCTTTGATATAATAGTTTGGAGCTTCGCTGTCTGATAAATAGCCCCTAACCACATTTAGCTATTTAACCTTAAATAAAATTATTTAAAATTAAATAAAATCAAATATTCAATTTCTTAGTCACACTAGCCACATATCAAGTGTTAAGTAGTCATACGTGGCTAGAGGCTACTATATTGGACAGTGAAGATTAGAGAGCATTTTTATCATCGCAGAATGTTCTATTGGGCACTGCAAGGAGTATTTCTAAATAAGGTCTTAAATTTTCAAATAGATCTTAAAGTATTTGAAATTTTGACATCTTGTATTAGAGGCCTTGAGGAAAGTAAAAAAAGTGGTCCAACCATTTAGCTGTGTAGAGGGAAAAAAAGATAGAAAAAATTACCCGGAGAATGTCAGGAGGCAAACCTCCTAAGTTTCTTCGAACATTCTCTTTTAACTTGAGAATGACTGATTTGTTTTTTTAAAAGCAAACTTTTTAAGGAAAAAATTCAAAAGCGTTCCCAGTGGTGAACATTGTGGCCATTCTCACAAAAACTTAATCGAAGTTTATTGCTTGAACATTTTAAAAGACACTGCCATATAGAAACTTATCCTTGACTGCCACATTCAATTATGAATTAAATGGGTCTTTGAAGAATCCAGTGGTGCTCTACAAAGCCATGAACCCAAGGGCTCACTCTGAAAGCGCATAAACCCAGAAGAGTACTGGAATGGTGGATCCAAGTATGAGATTTGCCATGGTTCTTCCACAGAACAAATCTTTACCTTGCCACATTTTCTCTAAGATATGTTGCAGATTTTCTTCTTCCGCACATTCCAGAAAATTTTAGCATTTTTCTTAATTTTAAGTATTTAAATTCTCCTCTTAATCTTGGGTCCTTGGGTCAAAACATTGGTTTCAGGAAAACACTTGAAAATGTGTGCAAAATTCTGAGTCTGCAGATGGAGATCATAGCTTTCATTAGCTTTCCAAAGGCATCCATAACTGCAAAACAGTTAAGGACCACTGTTGAAGTCGAATTTAAGATGTTTTAGATGATAAGGAACAAAAGAGGACCAAATGAAAAATATAAAAATGATAGTTTCTGGCTTATCAAGCATTTCTTGAGTTTTTACTATGTACCCAGACTCATGTTCTCTACTTCTCAGTTGCTCACACTTTTTTAGTTTTTTCTGTCCTTAGACAATATTTTCAGATGTAAAATAAATTGCTCAGAGGCTACCAGTGAGTACTTAGAACAAACGGACCCAACTCGTAATGAAACAGTTGAACTCAAAAAGAATTGAGATGGAATTGAATTAGACCTCAGTGTTTCAACATAACCGATTTGACAAGGATAACCACGGGCTGTGGTCCCTGAATACCTGGTGAGGTTGCAGCATTATTTATAAATGGCTTAACCTATATGCAAATAGACTGGCCCGTAGATTGTTTTTTTTTTTTTTTTTTTTTCTCCTGACTCACCACCAATCTCTGATTCAGGAGTTTGAGAGTCACTGGCTATTAAATATGGCAAAGTGACTTATTAGGAAAGAGGCTCTTAGACATTCTTATATCTTCACTAACATCAAAATTCTTGTCAGGAAAGCCCTGTTCTTGGCCATTAAGGGCTTGGATCCTTACTAGTGTCTCTCTTCATCTCAGAAAGCCCAGATATTTTAGTCTTTTTTTTTTTTTAAATAGCGATGAGAACATTTACATGACAATCATACAATCCTTGGTCTGGAAAGGACATAGAGACCAAATTATTCCCCATCCCTTGGTGGTCTGACTCAAAACAGTGAAGAAATGTTACTGCTCTTCCTCCTTTTTAATTTCCCAAAGGGAGAAAAATACACAGTTATTCAAGAAAGCACCATTCAATGCTATGTGACCTTCAAAGAAAGAGGCTCCTCCTAACTCCTGATTCACATACCTCTTCCTCCAGCTTATGCCCCATCTCTCTTCTCATGCTCAGCACAAACAAGATCTAAGCATCTACTGCTGACTATTTCCAGAGAGCTTTCTTGTACACCTGGAAACGCTGCTGGGCTGTGTTCACCAGGCAGGGCCCAGGATTGTGGAAAAACTCTTTGTCCAACCTTTGTTTTTGTTGATTTTGGAGCAAACATGAGCTAAATTTGCTCCTGGGTGGCTAGGCTGAGTGGTCTAACTCCACTGCAACTGATGCGTGCCTTTTCATTTAGGTGATTGCTGAAGAATTATCTGGCAATGATGACTATGTTGAACTTGCATTCAGCGCACGGAAGTTGGATGACAAGGTAAAGGGTTTGGCATTAACCTTACTGAAGGAAGTAATAAAGCTAGCACACACAGTTTAATCAGTTTTCCCCCTGCAGCTGTTTTTCCCTTTCAACCCACATTATTAAACAGATCAAAGATTTTAGAGAGGTCTGCAAAGTAAGGCTTCCCCCAAATTGAGAAGCAGTTAATGAGAATGTGGAGGAACTGTAATTAAAACAGGACAACTTTATTATACCAAGACTTCATTCGTTCCCAAATGTCACAGGCTAGATGTGCACAGGTAAGTATGATTTAACCCCATTGCTAGGGATATTCCAAGGGAAAAGAGAAGATGTGAAAGGGAAGAAAAATGACTTTTATTAAACACCTATATTTTCCAGGTACAGAATTTAGAGCTTTTCATGCATTATCAACTGAGTCATTCTAATAACCCCGTGAAACAGGTATTATAATCTGTTTGTAGATGAGGAAACAGATTCAAAGATGAAGTAACTTGTCTAAGGTCACTCCATGGGTTATCCAGACACTCTATGAAGCAGACAAGACAGGAGTAAACGTGCAAGTGTTTTATTAGGGGGAATGCCTGTGTAGGGAACACAGGGAGGAAGTCTGGGAGAGCTGGCAGACCACCATGTAAGTCTGACCCTGAGAGAAGGAGAGAGGGTGTGAAGGATGGAAGGAGGTGTCCTGGAGTGCTATACAGTCTAAGGAAGGAGTCCTAGAGCCAAAGGTGGCCATCAGGGGAGTCCCATGCCTCCCAGGAATGAGGCTGCCTTCATATCCCCTAGGCACTCAGTCATTGGCTGGGAGCAGACCGCGCAAAGTCTGGCCTAGGCGCGAACTCAGAGACTGATTTCAGAGCACAGCAGCTGGGACCCTTGGTCAGTTACACTCCCTGTAGGTGGCTGTCTGCAAGGTGCGTTTTCATGGACACTGTACTCTGCTAGTAAGTGAGAAAAGTGACCACTCAGTCTCAGGTCATTTTGACTCCTGTCTGTGCTCTTTCTCTTACAACTTGCAGCTAACACCCAATCACATGCCATGTTAGTCTTGCATACACAGAAAATGTTCTGCTGTCCCCACCCCTTAAAAAAAGTATGTCCCCCCTAACCTCACCATATAATATCTATATTTTCCCACCAACCATACCCTAAACAACAACAAGAAACCATTACGTCAAAAAATGTATTCACATAGGACCCCATTTTCCTTGAGTAAAACTAGAGAATTGGGAATTTGGGGATGCAACATCACTTTTTCAACGACTTATAGGCCTTTGACTGAAAATGTAAAGCAATTTTCAAGCAACTCCCTAAAGTCTTAAGCAGCAGCTTATATTCTGAGTATGTCTCCATCATTTTTTACCTACAAAAAATACTCAGTCCATTTATGCATTCGTTTGTTCACCTCTTTTATTAGTTCATTTATTCACTTATTCATCATGCATTTACCAAATCTTTGTTGGGTGCTTGTTATGCACGAGGTGCTAGGAAAAAGACATGTTTTAAATCACTCTCACACCACAACCTGGAATTAGCATCTAACTGGGACATAAATTTAAGCAACAAATGATATAGTAATAACTATAGCCATGATAGGTGATAAGTCTAGTAATAGATTTTATACATGTTCCAGAATGTCCTGGAAAGGGTAATTCATTCTGCCTAGGGACATCAGGAAAGACTTTATCCTTATAAACTAATTATGTTTGGGTGTTTTAGATTGTGTAGATTATGTGAAACTTTCACAAACTTCTACCTCTTGGCATTAGCCTGAGTTCTGTGCTGAGAATTACAGTGTGCATTGACCTCAGCTGGGTGTGAGCTTTCAACCCTCACCTCCCCATGACTATGGATTCTCCTTCTTCCCCCTCATCTCTCCAAGTTTAGAGTAATTCACCAAACTGCTTTGCAGTATCTTCCGTGGTACCAAGCTATCAAATCAGCATGTAGCAGTTTTAAGCTACTTAATGGCTTATAATGGCTTCTCTCCACTCAAGTGGGTTTGAACTGCTGACCTTTTAATTAGCAGCTGAGCACTTTAACCACTGCGCCACCAGGGCTCCTTGTAGTCTCTTAAAATCAAAAAACCAAACACACTGCTGTGGAGTCGATTCTGACTCATAGGGACCCTACAGGACAGAGTAGAACTGCCCCCATAGGGTTTCCAAGGCTGTAAATCTTTATGGAAGCAGACTGCCATATCTTTCTCCTGCGGAGCATCTGGTGGGTTTAAACAGCCAACTTTTAGGTTGGCAGCTGAGCACTTTAACCACTGCACCACTAGGGCTCAAAGTAGTCTCTTAAGTACCTGTAATTTGTCCTCTGACTTATGTTACAGTGCAAGAGAGGTTGGGGATTGGTTAGCGGGCCCTTTGGCTCTAAGGTGTGTGAATAGTTTCCCTTCAGTCAAACGAGCACTTGGTCACAGAACCAAAAGAGCCTCTCCAGCATTTCATATGGCTCTGGATGGGATGGACATTCCCACTCTTTACTGCACTGATTTTCCAGGGCCCTGTTCATTGCTGAGCCTCATGTCCCAGTGCTATAGACCCCAGATACTTGATATGTGGCAGTGTCTTGTCCATACTCCTTAGTAATCCAGAGAAAAGTGGGCCCTGTTCAGAGCAAAGCAGACACCTAGCTCCAGTTTGGACTGGAAGGTGAATGGTCTCAGGTGGAAAGAGGGTGAAGTTGTAGAATCACGGAGCATTAGAATCAGATGATACCCTGATGATCAACTCATACAACCTCTTCTGGAAACCAGGGTTCAGCAAGTTCTGACGACTTACCCAAAGACACAATACTATTGCTCTGATTATCTATAGCTGCATCACAAACCACCCATAAACCTAGTGGCTTAAAACAACCACTATTTAATTATATCTTGTAGTTTTGAGGGTCAGGCATTCAGTCAGGGTTTAACTGGGCCATTCTTCTGCTCCTCATGATTTGATGGAGATCACTCAGTGCTACTCAGCTGATGGCTGAGCTCGTCTGGAGGGTCCAAGCTGACTTTACTCCTATACCCAGCACATGGGATTGCTGAAAGGCTGGGCCCAGCGGGGATAGTGAATGAGAGTTCCTACATGATGGTCTTGGGGTTGTCACACTTCATATATAGTGGCTGGCTTCTCCCAAAGGGAGCATCCCAAGAGAACCAGGTGGAAGTTGCATGGCTTTTTCTGACCTAGCCTTGGAGGTCATGCATCCTCACTTCTGCTGCATTCTGTTGGTTACAAATGAGTCCTAAGGCCAGCCCAGATTCAGGGAGGGAGAGTTAGACTCCACCTCCTTGATGGGAGAGTGTCAAGGTCATATTGTAGAAAAACATATGGACAGTGGACATTGTGGTGGCCATCCTTGGAAAATGCAATCTGCCACAATATTTTTGTGATAAAGCCAGAATAAGACAGTGTAATCATTTCATGTAACAGCTGAAAAGCAATTCCCAGAAGTCCTCAAGAAGGGCCTCTTTATAGATTTTAGCATCAAATGATTTTGTAGCTACCTATACATTAGCAGTTGAACTTATCTATTTAGAAAATATGTCATGACTAAAAGGTGCTATGAGATAAAGCTCTTAAGTTTTTACTTTTTAATATCATAAACACAACTGATTTCTATATACATTTGAAAAATTACAGTATGAGTATGTGGGGGAAATATGCTATATCTAATTCAGACAAGGATTATAGAAGATCTGAATTCTTAGTCCCCTTGAAATAATACTAGTAACCCACAGAGTATTCAAGTACCTCAGGTAGAGAGCCACTGGTCTAATCCAATTTCCTTCTTTTACAGATGAAAAAATTGAGGTTCAGAGGTGTGAAATGACTTACCCAAGGCCACACACACACACAGTCATGAAAAAATCAGCAACAGAGAGGAATTCAGTCAGGTTGCCTGACTAAAATCTAAATCTTCTTTCAGGGCAGAGAGTTAATGGATAGAAGTTGTAGATTTCTCAGAATGTGGAAGACTAGGTAAAGTTCTCATGTATTTTAGAGAAGTAGGAAGCCAGGGAGGAGGGAGGTGTTGGTACCCTGTAGGGCAGCACTCCTCAAAGTGGGGTCCAATGAACATGGAAGTCCCCAAAACCCTTTAAGGGGATCCTTGAGGTCAAAACCATTCTCATAATAATACTAAGACAGTATTTTCTTTCTTCACTCTCATTCTCTCACAAGTGTACAGTGGAGTTTTCCAGAGGGTACACTTTGCATGATATCAAAACAGATTGAAAGCAAAAGCAGATATGACACTCCTGCTGTCTTCTATTTAGCCAGTCATTAAACTAATTTACAAATGTGTAAAATAATGCCCTTCTCACTATTTTTTAACTTTGGAAAATATAGTTATTTTCCATTAAAAGATGTTATTTATGTTATGATGTAGTGGGTTTATTTTTATTTTTTACTTTTTTTTAAATTATACTTTAGATGAAGGTTTACAGAACAAATAGTTTCTCATTAAACAGTCAGTACACATATTATTTTATAACATTGGTTAACAACCCCACTGCATGTCAACACTGTCCTTACTCAACCTTGGGTTCCCTACCACCAGCTTTCGTGTCCCCTTCTGCCCTCCAGTCCTGTCCCTGGACTGCTTTGCCTCATTAGTCCTGTTTTGTTTTATGGGGCTGTCCAATCCCCAGCTGAACGGTGAACCTTGGAAGTGACCCCACCACTGAGCTAAAAGGGTGTCTGGAGGCCATGCTCTCAGGGTTTCTCCAGTCTCTTTCAGGCCAGTAAACCTGGTCTTTTTTGTGTGTGTTAGAATTTTGTTCTACATCCCTCTCCAGCTCTGTCCAGAACCGTCTGTTGTGATCCCGGTCAGAGCAGTGGTGGCAGCTGGGCACCATCTAGCTGTACTGAACTCAGTCTGGTGGAGGCCTTGGTAGCTGTGGTCCATTAGTCCTTTGGACTAATCTTTTCCTTGTATCCTGTTCTCTTCATTCTCCCTTGCTCCGGAAGGGGTGAGACCAGTGCAGCATCCTAGATGGCCGCTCACAGGCT